GGGTAGGGTTCGCATGTGGCCCCTTGCGAGCGGATGTGACCGCGGATGGGGGCACCCCCGGGTGGCAGCGGGGCAGATGCGGGCCTTGCTGCCCGGCCCGTGCGCAGGCGAGCCCGAGGACGCGCCGACCTTCCCGTGCTGCGCGAGGAGGCGCCCGATGGGCTCGTCCCATTCGGTGCACAGCATGATGCCCCTCCTCCTCCTCCTCCTCCTCCTCCTCCTCCTCCTCCTCCTCCTCCTCCTCCTCCTCCTCCTCCTCCTCCTCCTCTAACGTGCCCGCGCTCGGCCGCAGCCTGGTGGATTGCGCGCGGGTGCTGAGGCGGCGGGAGGCGCCCGCCGAGGCCCCGGCCGACGAGGTGGGCGTGCCCGACGCGGAATGCGTCGAGGGGCGGCATGCTCGACGAGGGAGCCCCGAGGCGGCATGCTCGACGAGGCGGAGTGCGCCGAGAGGCGGCATGCGTCGAGAGGCGGGCGTGCGACGCAGAAAGTGCGTCGAGGTGCGGAGGGAGCGGGGCTGCCGGTCCCCGAGTTCGTGGACCAGGTGCGGTCGCTGAAGCAGCTCGACCCGAGGGCGGTGGTGGCCCTGCGCGTGTTCGCGGGCCAGCGACGCCAGGGCGACGTGCAGCAGTTCATGGAGCAGCTCTCCGACCAGCATGGCGTTTTTTTGAGCACGACCGTGCGCTGCATGACTCAAGCACGGCATAAGTGTCTGATAGCAAGGTTACTCCACTCGCGTTGAGATGGAGGCCTTGACATATCTTGTACCAGGCGCCTGCAGGGGCTCTCTCTCTCTCTCTGCCAAGTCTTGGGGTCCACAGGTCGACCTGTGCACACCACTCCGAGCCTGGCGACTCGAGCCCCCGAGGAATAGCACCTGCACTGCAAACAAGCGACTAAGAGAGAATCGCTCGAGCTGTCGAAAAGAACACCCTTGTGGCTCAAATCCCGAAGCCTCTGGACATCGATCCTTAGGATCGCAGCACAGTGGCCAGGGGGAGGTCAGGCGTGGCTCGGGCTGCGGTTGGTACGCAGACGCGTCGAACACTGCCAAAACCTTTGTTCCCCGCACGGGGGGCCAAGCCAAGTCCACGAGTGTGGGCTGGCGGCACCTGAGGACCGAGACATACCAGGAGAGGACCAGGTGGCCTCTTTCAAATCGGTCCTGGGCCACAACGGGAGTAAATCGGCCGCAAGCTTAACAGTTGCCTTGGAAATGAAAAAGGTAAAATCCAGCTCCTCAAGCGTGGAAGCGGCGGCGGACGGGTGCGCTGCCGCCCCAAGCTTGGCAGCGCGATCGGCATAGTCGTTGCCGACAGGCAACATGCGTTCGTGAGGAGAAAGATTCGGGTCGTCCAAGGCCTGATGCGCCTTGACCTTATCACAGCACACATATCAAATTCCCGCCCAGCGCCCGCCCCTGCATAATCAAACCCGCGTAGGGTCGATCGGGGGCGAGACGGGCGTGCTCAGGCAAAACGTGCATGCCAACAACGTGGGCACAGTCGCTGAACAGTTGGCTGGGCTGAGAGAGGAACGCACCACACGCCGCACACGCAGAAAACTCACCAGCCTGGGCTGTCTGTGGGCAACTGTCCCACACGGGACCATACGCCATCGCTAATAGGTTGCCACCTGGGCCTAAACTGGCAAGGCCCCAATCCGCTCGGCTGAAGTCCCGAATGAGCGATATGGAACAGGACCCGCCGAAGAAAACGCTGCCACACCAGAGGCGCGAGCCCTCGGGAGGACACGTCCACCCTTCAGCTTCGAAGCCATCAGGAAAATACCACAACGAAATGCAGTCGGGGCTGTCGTCGCGGTCGGCTGGCTGTGTGTGTGCGTGTGTGTGTGTGTGTGTGTGTGTGTGTCGGGCTACATATTGTGGGTGTGCGAACAGACCAGAAGCCAAAACGAACCTAGAGCACGCGTCAGGATCGCCTCGGGCCGCCCCCAGAACTTTGCCAGGACAAATAGATCTCCTCACCTCCTCCGCCACAGGACAACACCACAGACGATGCAAAATAATGTCTCCAGGCGCGTGGCAAAGAGGGCGCTCATCAGGAATAGCATAGCCTGCGGCTCTTGCACGTGCCAGAGGCCACAGTCCTTGGCAGGTCAAACATCTGATGATTCCTTTCTGGAGGGGGGTAAACTTCTTGGACCTCAGGGCCGCCGCCACAACATCAAAACAAAGCCTCGGGGACCATTGGCCTCCGCGATTCAGAGCAGCACCCCGTTCGAGGCACCTCCAGACCGCCTCCTTCAAGAGCGTATGGGGGAGGGCGGCGGGGGTGAGGGTGAGGGAGTGACGGGCCCAGGGTCGCTAACTAAAAGAAAAGGGGAGGGCATGGACCAGCCAATCACGTCAACAGAAAACCGCGTGGCCCCCGCGGGCCCCCCCACTCTTCTCCAGGACCAGGGTCGGTGGAAACTACCGTTCCACATGGAACGCAGCTGGGCCCAAGAAAAAACGAATTCCGAGGCCCCGGCGCGGCGAACCCGCACTTTTTTGGCCCAGCGGACACCCGGGGAAACCGCGCCGAACCAAGCAGGGCCCCCTTCTAGCCGACTCGAAATGGTCAAGCTTCTGCCCCCCGCGCTGGGTTTCATCGTGGCCGCGCAGAGCCTACGCAACTTAAGAAGTTCACCGTCGCTGCAACCGTGGACCTCGCTGTCGTAAGTGGCTCCTGGCAGCGGGCCCGAAACGCAAAGTTTGCTGGCACTGCATCCTAGTACAGCTCGCTGGCCTACCAGTCGGCCAACCCGCCGTCTGGCTCGCGTCGCTCGAAGCTCGGCGCGGGCGTTGCGCCCGCAAGACCGAATGGCGCCGCCAGCTGCATCATCGATCCCGAGGTTCACAATGAACTCTCGAGGTCTCCAAGCCAACTTTCCCAACCTCCTTTCCACCGAACGAGAGAGAGACTTGGAGGAAGAGACGAGGCCGACCTTGTCGAGTGCAATGGAAGCGCGCAGAATATTGCCCACGACAGCTTCGAGCTCAGCAGCAACGTCACACATGCTCTTAACAACCTCCATCTCCTTCCCCACTCCATTGACTCCCATGTCGTCGATGTAAGCGTCGAAAGAGACAAGTGGGGGGATAGTCAAGGAGTCGAAGTAGTATAACGCAATAAATACGGATGTGGATCGTCGCAAAGCTGCACCCCGCAATGATGCCGACCCTGGCATACATGGGGTAAGAAACCGTACCTGCAAGAGCAAGGAACCTGGCCGACCTGCACCCTGCGATGCACATGGACGTGATGGCAGGCGGCAGCCCGTGACGTTCGCAACGCAAAATAAGGTGGTCCAAATGAATCCGTTCGTAATGCTTCACGGAATCCCGCAGCAAGGTACAGGCCGAGCCCGAGTTATATCTGGATTGTTCAGCACGCGCAGCTTGGCGCCAGGCAGCGTCGCTGGCCGACTAGTGTTGCACTGCGGCCCAGTGCGTGCGCATGTGCGCCGCCTCCCAAGCGATGGCGTACTCCCTGCGGCATTTGCCCCAAAGCCTGCGCAGACTCGGAAACGCTCCTATCGGGCGAAACCCAGCGTCGGCTTCGGGAGCAGGGCAATGATAACAGCACGGATCTGAGGCGGCAGCATCCCCGTGGTCTCCATGAGCCTCAGGAAGCTCGGAAGAGCCTCCAGGGCCCCGTCGGACAAAACAAAACATTGCCCCATGTGAAATCCGTCCAACCCCACAGCGGACCTATGAGCAAAAGGCTTAGACTCACTCCTGATCATGTCAACCGGGATGGGAGGGAGGGGATTTAAAATCCTGGTCCCCCAGAGGCCCCTGAACCGAATGGCCCCGCCCCGAAGGGGGGCTTGGGGGCCCGAAAGAACGCAGCCTTTGGACGAGAGGGTCGTGGAAGGTTTGAACGCCTGAGGGCCCTTGGAACAAGCGCGGGCTCTGCGCTCCCCGCTTTCAATATTTTCCAAAAGCCATGAGCCCCAGCCCTTGCGAGCTTGCACCGCGAAGTGTCCGACGCAGAGCTCGAAGGCCCCCGCCACCTCGCTGCGCAGGGCGTCGAGGCGCTGAGAGCAGGTGGAATGCGAAAGCGAGCCGCCCAGCCAGTCCTGACCTAACTGGGAGGCACCCGCCACAAGATGCAGGATGTCGGGGAAGGGGTCGGGAACGCCCTTGACCTGAGGAGGAGGATCCGACAAAAACACGAGCCGCGACAAGGGCCTCGTCGGGCCGACCAGGGACCGAAAACCTGACCGAAAACTTCACTAAATCGGCGCGCAACCATTTCTTGGCGCGGGGTGGGGGGGGGGGAAAGGGGGCATTTCACGCAGCCCAGGTACGCCCGTGCGACAGGTAGGAGCCCCAGAGGTGAGCAGCTGGCCTGCCAACTTGGCCACGGACAACCAGGACTCCAAGGTGGCGGGTTCCATGTTGCAGCCCCCTCCACACATAGAGGGCCCCCCACGCGTAGCCCCCAGAGCCCCCCGCAGCCGACAGAATATCCAAGTTCCTATCAGAGAGACCCTCTGAGTCCCAGAGATACACAGAACAAAACTGGAAAATGTCGCCCTGGGGGGCATGAATGAGACAGGAAATCGCGCGATGACGAAACGGCGCATGCCCTCCAGCTGGGGCATGCAACCCCAGAGAAGAGCGACGCAAAATCGAAACTCCCGCGGATGGGCTTCCTCCAGGGCCCGTAGTGGCTGGGGCCCAGGGGGATTTCCAGCCCAGGGAGAGGCAAGTCTGGCTAGCGCGGGAAATAGCTGCTTCGGTCACCAGCTTGTGCTCCTGAACGAACACAACGGGCGAATTGACAAGAAGTAACCAATCCTTCACTGACTTCCAACTATTGCCACTCACCGTAGTCGCGGACAAAAAAGAACAGAACAGAAACAGATGGCGGAGGAGGGGGGGAGAGAGGACCTCCCACGCAGGCCCTCTGGTCGCGACTGCCGAGCTCGCTAAAACAAATAAAGATGACCCCCCCGTCAGGCTGAGCCCGCGGAGGGGCGCCCATTCTGACCGCGGTCACTGGGCTCGCCAGCAAGCGACTCCGCAGCCCGTCTGTCGACCATGGCCGCGATGCGCCCGACCTCCTGGCGTGCACGCTGGGCCGCGGGCTGCGAGAGACCCTGCGAAACCCCGCGAGGGGCACGCGAGCTGCCCGAGTCGTTGGCGTCTCCATCTGGCGAAGGCACCGGTGATGAGCCCGCAGCCGCACCCGAGGCCCCCACTGCTGGCGCTGCTGTCGAGGTGGCCTCGCCGTCGTTGCCGCGACGGCGCTTGGGCTGGAGCCTCGCCAGGCAAGCAGCGTGCTCTGCGCGAACAGCACCTGCCTTCTCTATGACGGGCTCGAAAAGGGTCTTGGCCATCTCGGAAATAGATTCTTTAAGCTGCTGACGGCGGCGATTGGCTTCCTCCAAATCCTGCGGAGCGAGCCCTTCACCGACAAGATCCTCGCTGAACAATCCACGTCGTCGATGGTGATGTTGTTGACCTTGCCTTCCAAGAGCTCACGCAAGCACAAAGTGGGCCCAGCAGACTCCTATGTGGGCTTGGGCGGCACGGCCTCGACCACGAGCGAATGCAAACGCATAACCAACTCCGCGTGCTGTTGCTGCATGGCCATGCGCTATCGTCCCAGGTCTGCAAGAAGCTTCTTGCCGACCCAGGCTCTCCTTCCATTTGAAATATTTGTGGAGCTCCACCTCCATGTGTTTGTCGAGCTTGCCGAGCTGCCAGTGTAGATCATTGACCTGCTCCTGCAGTGGCTTGGGCGCGACTTTCGGCACGGAGGCGACCATGGCGTCAAGCTTGGCCTGGTAGCGCTCGACTGTGTCAGTGTCTCCCTCTTTCTTGGCGACGGCGATGACCAACTGCAGATCTTTCGAGCCCAAGGGGCCCCTCGGTGCAGGTAGCCACTCCACCTCCGCCATGACCTGGAAGCTGGACCCCTGGCTGGAGCGCATGCCGCTGCCAGCGACCAGGAGGAGCCTGAGGGCAAGGAGCGAGAGGACTGCCACGCTGATGACTCCATGCCCCGCGCGGCGGTGGCTGGGGCATGGGGAGCGGAAGCGAGCGCGTCGAGCCGCAATGCTTGCAGACGTTGATCGCGTTGCTGTTCTTGCCGCAGCCGCACGAGATGCACTTCCACTTACCTGGCGGTCCTGAGTCCCGCCCCTGCTGCTGCTGATGCTGGGGATACCATGGAGAGCGCCATGGGCAGGCTGCTGTCCAGGGAGGCTGCGTCGAGGAGCCGACCTCGCCGTCGACGCGAGGTGGGACTTCAGCGACCCGCGCGCGGTCTCCCTGCTGCTTGGCCTCGCGAGCGAGGGCCTCATCGACGTCGCGCTGGGCAAGCCGCCGTGCGCGACCTGGAGCCGCGCGCGTTTCTGCCCAGATGGGCTGCCGCCGCTGAGGTCGCGGTGGGAGCTGCTGGGCCCGGCAGGCCTGACGCCTCGACAACAGGCCAGAGTGGCGGAGGCCAACGTACCTCTGTTCAATTACCTTGGGCTCTCTGAAGCTGTTCTCGGGCAGCGGGGAGCCTTTCCAATGGAACGCCCGGCCGACCCGGGTCGTGCACCCTACCCCTCGATGTGGGTCCTGGATGGAGCCCTAGGGCTAGCTAGTAGGGCAGGAGTGTCGGTAGTCGAGCTAGATCAGTGTATGTTTGGGGGTGTGGCCAAGAAACCGACAGGTCTCCTCTCCAACCCCCTCGGAATCTCTGAAGGTATCTTGAAGTGTGATGGACGACGCGAGCGCGGACGATCCTATGGTCGTACCTCGGGTGGTTCGTTTGCTACTCGCCGCTTATAGACGTATCCCCCGGGCTTCTGTCGCTTCGTGGCCCCGTGTGTCGTCAAGACTTTGGCGGCTGCGGGCGAGGACGGTAGGGGCCCAGGGGGGTGGCGAAAAACAGCTTCGCGGGGCTCGAGGACCACGAACTGGGGCACGCTGGTCGGCGGCGCTCTAGGTGGAGGGCCCAAGAACGGAAGCCCCCGGCGGGCGAGTGCGAGTCGAGCTGGGCACGACGGGGGCCGGGCAGGAGCCCAAGCCCCCGACGTCGTGGTGGGCGGGCACCCAGATCCTGGTCACGTGTTGAGACATTATGGATGAATCGGCTTGAGAATTGAGATTCATGTGTGTGTGTGTGAGCATCCTCTTCCGTTCCATGGTTGTTTCTGGGTTCCCCCAGTGCGCAAGTGATTGAAGCTAGCAGTGTAGTACAAATATTGAAGCTTCCCGCCCTAGTCTCGTGACGAGTGTTGTGCGGTACCTGTGCTCAGTTCAGGTGCCCCGTCCAGCGCCTCTGGTCCCGACGGAGATGAATATCTTCACCGTCGGCTTTAACACGTTTCAGCACGCATGTTTTGGACGAGTGGAGTGTGCTACTCGTGAGTTGGTGCGGCCGTTGGCCGCGGAGAAGCTTTAAGGTGACTGCTGCATCAGGTCGTTGCGAAACACATTACTTCCGTAGGCTTTCGCCTTTCCGTCTGCTTGGGTAGGTCTGGGCGGGCACCAAGATCCTGGCCACGTATTGGGACATTCTGTATGTATGCATGCATGTATGTATACCTTGTGCATGTGTGTATGTATATACACATGTAAACAAGAAGTCCATCAAACTCCTAGTGGTGTCTCGGCCCGACCCGACGGCCACCCGAAGGCAAGCACCCCCACGTTGCCACCCTCCACGCTGACTCCCGTCATAAACGTTGCTGGAAGAGCAGTGGCTTTACCGGTTCGCGGTCAGGCGAAGTCTTCTCGAACATATTCTGCTGAAGGAGCAAGGCTTTGGTGGGGATCAAGGCGGATCCGCTGGCGATGGCGTTGCACTCTGCCGCACGCCGAACCATACTCCACTCGGGAGTGTGGGGCGATCGCTGCTCCTCCTACGCCTACCCCGACCTCTCCTACTCCTCTCCTCCTTTACAACAAGGCCAGTGTAGCCTCACTCCCCTAATCCTATTCCCTACCCAACTCATCGCCAACCATGCCGCCTTAAGACAACTTCGACAAATTATATAACTGTGCCGTGAGGGGTACTTTGCCTCCCTCCTCATAACTGTACCCATCACCCCCAACTCCTGCCACCTGCCACTTCCTCCCCTGGCTCCCCCTGTTCATCTTCCTGTTCCTCCTCCTCCTCCTCTTACTCATTGCCACGCCCCCCCCCCTCACATTTCCTCTCCCCCTCCTCCCTTCGCAACTGTTCGGTATGAACACAACCCTCCCTTCTCCCCAGACTCTGAGCGGACGCTGCCCCGCTGTCTCTGCGTATTGGTTGCGCCACACAAGGTTCCCAAACGCTTATATCTCCTACGGATAATCCGCTCGGAGCGTCTTCGGTGCCTCGAAGTGGTGCTCACGCTGCAGCGCTGGCCTCGCTTCAGGATCGGCGCCTCGCCACCGCCGCTGAGGATGGCGCTCCCGCCCCCGCGCGGGCCACTCTTCTGGAGCCGAGGGCTCCCTCACCGCTGTCGCCCCGCTCCTGTCCCATTCCCCGCCTTCCCTGGTTCACCTGCTCCTCCCGTTTCTCCCGCTCCCGCTCCTGCTGCTGCTGTTCCTCCTCGTCCTCCTTCCTCCTCCTCCTCCCCCTGCTCAGTCGCCAATGCATCCTCGAATGTACGCCGCTCCCCTTTATGCGACTGCGCATGACGCAATGTGGTCCTTTGGGGGGTTGCACGGCCGCTATTCGAACCTTCGGCGGATATAAAACAATGTAATGGAATGGGAAGAGATGGGTGGGAGGGGTCGGAAGTAAGCTATGGCGCGAGCGCGTAGCTTGCCCCTCCCTCTCTTCAATCTCCTCCTCCTCCTCCTCCTCCACCTCCTCCTCCTCCTCCTCCTCCTCCTCCTCCTCCTCCTCCTCCCCCTCCTCCTCCTCCTCCCCCCCCCATCGTCCTCCTCCTCCTCCTCCTGCTCGAGGCAGCCGTCGGCCCGACACGATGTCGCGGGGCAAGGGGAAGGCCAAACCATGCATGGCCTCAGCGTGCTCTCTCTGGTGGACACAAGGAGGGGGATCTGGTAATGCGTGATGACGATTAATAAAATTTCCCCAGTGCGACCCTACCTAGAATTTGCAGCCCCTAGGAAAGCAGCATTAGTTGCTATGTTATACTATGATATGCTATGCCATGCTGTGTTGTACAATGCTATGATATGCTATGCTATGCTATGCTATGATGCGCTACGCTATGCTATGATATGATATGCTATGCCATGATATGGTATGTCATGATGCGCTGTGCTATGCTAAGCTACGCTGTGCTATGATATGCTAAACTGCGCTGTGCTATGTTATGATATGCTATGCTATGCTGCGCTATGCTATGATATGCTATGCTATGATATGTTATGTTAATACAGCGCTGCGCTATGCTAAGCTAAGCTAAGCTAACCCTCTAGGCAGAGCCTAGGTAGGGAATTACGCCCATGCTATGCTATGCTGTGCTGCGATATGCTGTGCTGTGCTGGGCTTTGCTATGATATGCTGTGCTGCGCTGTGCTGTGCTACGCTCTGCTATGCTATGCTATGCTGTGCTCTGCTATGCTAAAAGCTCGGCGAAGCTAAGATGAAGGTAAGCTAAGCTAAGATAAACATGAGCTAAGATGAAGCTAAGCTAAACTAAGATGAAATAAGCTAAGCTAAGATGAGATAAGCAACGCTAAGCTAAAGGAACGTCACTGGGGGAACCGCGGGGCGGATGCCGGGGGAACCGCCCGGGGCGAGGAACACTGCCCGGCCCTTTAAGCTTAGAAGGTAAGAACCGTTCTAGGCAGAGACTAGATAGGGAAAGATGGGAGAGAACGATTAAAACATAGTTTTCTGCTATTTCCGCATAATTTTATGACTGGAGGAGAACGATTCAAAACATAGTTTTCCAGCCCGCGGCCGTTTTTTCTAATCGTCATCCCGGGCGCCGCCGCGTGAACACGACCCCCGCTCATTTATTAACCGTCATCCTCCAGTACCTGTTATCACAGGATTTTCGCTCAGAACAAGAGCTCCTCCGATCCTCGGAATGTGCCCTGGCCGTCGAGAGCCTAAGCTAGGGCTCCCAACTTCGCGCTTCGCGCTCCGCGAAGCGCGAAGCGCGAATACCTTCGCGCCCTCGCGCCGCCCCCCCAAAGGGAGAAAAGGAGGACGAGGAGGAGGGGGAGAAGGAACGAGGACCGCGAAGCGCGAAGCGCGAATAGCTTCGCGCCCTCGTGGGAGCCCTTGCTAAGCGACGACGACCTCGTCTGGAGTTCTGCCTGGGGCATGGGCACGGGTGCTGGCAGGGATCAAGGGCACGAGTTTCGCCCCACAGCACATATGACTCGCAACCGAACGCTCGCTCGGAGCAATCCGCCCACAGCCCTCCTGACCCTCTTCCCTTGGGCGCCCGAGTTATCCGGGATAACTCGGGTCCGGGGTAACTCGGGTTTGGATTCCCGAGAAAGGAACCCGAGTTAGCCCTGACCCGAGTTACCCCTGATGATTCGGGGCTCTGGACGCCCGAGTTATCCGGGATAACTCGGGTCCGGGGTAACTCGGGTTTGGATTCCCGAAAAACGAACCCGAGTTATCCCTGACCCGAGTTACCCCTGATGATTCGGGGCTCTGATTCCCCATCATCGCCCCCCAAGCTCCCAAGGCGTTGGGGTGAACAGACACTGTACGACAAGGCCTCTGCAGTTGGACAGCGGCACTCCGTCCTTCGATTGCCACGGCCTCCTCCCGCTCCCCTTCTGCCGTGCCCTGGTCCGTTTTAGTACAGCCTGCTTCTCAGCTCGCGACTGGGCGTTTTCAAATTAATGGAATCCTGAAGCGCCGACATTCAATCAAGACTCACATGCAACTTGCAACACTTATCCGCGAGGGGGACGCCAAGGGGGGGAAGGAAGATAGAGAGATAGAGAAAGAGAGAGAGAGAGAGAGAAAGACAGAGAGAGAAGCAACAATACAACAAATACATCAACAAACCTATAGACAGGCAAGCAGACAGAGAGGAGGGAGGGAGGAAACGAGAGCGAGGGGGAAAAGGGGACAGATAAACACCGATGCTGAACCGCGGATCTGGCCGACGGGGCTACTAGCGCCCCGCTCGGCAGCATGGCACAAGCGCAACGACCCTTGCAAAGCGCGCCCAGGCACGAGCTCGCCTATGAAGGATGCGAGCCTGCCTATGCTGATGCCCTGCCTCAACTCCTCGGTCGGTAAGCTGGGCGCGCCTGGCTTGGGCAAGGGCACGCTCGCGACAACGGGTGAGTTGACGATGATGAGCTGCGCGGGAGATCTCCGCAAATCCAGCTCCGAACAGAGCTGCGCCGCGTCGGGCGAGTCATCGAGGAAGCGAGCCCCCGGCTATTGTGCGAGATGAGCGTGCGCGCTAACTTGAGGTCCTGTCGCCGAAAAGCTCGCGAGAAGGAGCGCAACGCCAGGAGCTTGACCTCATCGCCATGCTGATGCCGCTGTCCACCAGGGAGCTGAAGCAACAAATTGCGGGTTAACCTGGCGGCCTCCACCACGTTTGCTTTCGTGGCTTTCCCAGATGGGAAGGCGCGCCATTTGAACTGTCACCCGAAACTGGACATCATTCAACCGTGCTGCGGGGATCTGCAACAACTGGCCCGTCCTTAGCAGGGTGCTTGGGGGTTCGGGATTGGCCCGCGGCCCCGACCCTCCTCTTTGGCCCCTTACCTTTCATAATAACGGAATTCTGTAATCAAGACATGTATGTTCGATGTCTTGGGCTCGGACTTGGGTCTTCTTGGGATCGCGTTGTCCTCGCCCCCCAACTAGTACTAATGATAATGGGGCTGGCAGTGGTAGTAGTAGTAGTAGTAGTAGTAGTAGTAGTAGTAGTAGTAGTAGTAGTAGCAGCAGCAGTAGTAAAAGTAGTAGTAGTAGTAGGTGTCGTAGTAGTAGTAGTAGTAGTAGTAGCAGCAGCAGCAGCAGTAGTCGTAGTAGTCGTAGTAGTCGTAGTCGTCGTAGTAGTAGTAGTAGTAGTAGTAGTAGTAGTAGTAGTAGTAGTAGTAGTAGTAGTAGTAGCGGTCGTAGTTCTAGTAGTAGTAGTAGTAGTAGTAGTAGTAGTAGTAGTAGTAGTAGTGGTAGTAGTAGTAGTACTCGTAGTTGTAGTAGTAGTCGTCGTAGTCGTAGTTTTAGTCGAAGTAGTAGTCATAGTAGTAGTAGGAGCAGCACCAGCAGCAGTAGCAGTAGTATTATAAATAGTAGTAGTAGTAGTAGTAGTAGTAGCAGTAGTAGTAGTAGTAGTGAAAGTAGTAGTAGTAGTAGTAGTAGTAGTAATGGCAGTGGTGGTAGTCGTCGTAGTAGTAGTAGTCGTAGTAGTAGTAGAAGTAGTAATAGTAATAGTAGTAGTAGTAGTAGTAGTTGTCGTAGTAGTAGTAATAGCAGTAGTAGTAGTAATAGTCGGCGTAGTCGTCGCCGTCGTCGTCGTCGTCGTGGTCGTCGTCGTCGTCGTAGTAGTAGTAGTAGTAGTAGTAGTAGTAGTAGTAGTAGTAGTAGTAGTAGTGTAGTAGTAGTAGTAGTAGTAGTAGTAGTAGTAGTAGTAGTATAGTAGTAGTAGAGTAGTAGTAGTAGTAGTAGTAGAGTAGTGTAGTAGTAGTAGTAGTAGTAGTAGTAGTAGTAGTAGTAGTAGTAGTAAGTAGTAGTAGTAGTAGTAGTAGTAAGTGTAGTAGTAGTAGTAGTAGTAGTAGTAGTAGTAGTAGTAGTAGTAGTAGTAGTAGTAGTAGTAGTAGTAGTAGTAGTAGTAGTAGTAGTAGTAGTAGTAGTAGTAGTAGTAGAAGTAGTAGTAGTAGTAGTAGTGGTGGTAGTAGTAGTAGTGGTAGTAGTAGTGGTAGTAGTAGTAGTAGTAGTAGTAGTCGCAGTCGTAGTCGTAGTCGTCGTAGCTGTAGTAGTAGTAGTAGTAGTAGTAGTAGTAGTAGTAGTAGTAGTAGTAGTAGTAGTAGTAGTAGTAGTAGTAGCGGTAGTAATAATAATTGTTCTCGCGACTACGACGTAAACTGCGACGCCTACAGCCACGACAGCCCTGCGTCGCAGGTTGGACTTTGGCTGTGCTAGGGAGCCGGTGCTGGCACCGGGCCTGGGGGCCTCTCCCAGGGGAAGGACGCCGGGGCTCCAAGCGTGGGGCGGCTGCGGGCCTCGGGCCGCCGCGACTCCCCCTGCAGGTGGTGCAGGGGGCCCGCTGCCGGGCCGATCTGGTCCTCGGTCGCCGCAGGCGGTGAGGGCTCGTGGTCGGGCGCTGGTGCGCGGGCAGCACGCTTCCCGACGGATCTGGTGGTCCTTCTTCCCCGTGCCATGGAGGGGGCAGGGCTGTCCAGGCGAGCGCGCGGGGGGAGAGCCAATGAGAGAGAGAGACATGAGGAAAAGAGGCAGAGAGAGAAAAGTGTGAGAGAGGGGGGAGGGAGCGAGAGAGAGGGACCACACACAATGATGTATAGCTAGATGAGAAACAAAGAGAAATAGAGAGAGAGAGAGAAGGAGAGATAGAGAGGAAACACATAGTGAGAGAGAGAGAGAGAGAGACAGATAACACGTGACATATATTCACATAAAAGCATGCATGCATCGAGAGAGATATGGAGAAACACATAGCACGTACACGCTGGGAAAAAATAGGCAAAATCAAGCAATGGAACAAGAAGGACTCCAGGGTGCGAAGGACACGGGAACTAACAATCAGAGGAGGCGCAGACAGGAAAAGAGAGCGGAGTGGATAACGAAGGCAAGACGCGAATGTCCTAAGCTGGGGTGTATACAATCGCACCGGCATATTCCTTGCAGGCCGTCCGCAATCTGGTCAGTGCGCGTGCGCAGCTGACTCGGCAGAAGCCAAATTCTATGCAGTCCCTCACCCTCCCCCTTCTGCTAAGATGGCTTGTCCTCTCTCATCCTTCGCCCGCCTCTCCGAAGACGATGCCAAAATCACGCAACATCCTATCGGAAAGCCGGACCGGAACGAAAGGTTCGTCGGATCGGGCCGCACCGGCACGGAGCTGGAATCGACTCTGATCGGCCGCCTCAGGATACACCGAAGCGGCATGCAGGGGTTCTTGCCATCGCTCGGACGTCCATTTCGCGTGCATTTTTCGGTTTCGTGCGTGTTTTTTTCACGAAGTGATCAAAGATGCTCCTCGATGGTCCTCGCCGAAAGAAAAATGCACACGTCCGAGCGATGCACCGAAGCAGCATGCAGGGGCTGGGCCGCACCGGAGCGCCCCCACGTCGAAACCGTCATCGGATCCGATCGATCGGGTCGACGTGGGCCCCGCACGGTGCACGCTCGCCTCCGCCAGCGCGAGCCCGAGTCGGACCAGGCCCGCGGGTGGGCGCTGGCCCTCCCCACCGGAGCGGCGCACCAGCCCCCCCCTCTCGCCATCGCTCGGACGTCCATTCCCCGTGCATTTTTCTATTTCGTGCGTGTTTGTTTTCGCCAAATGATCAAAGATGCTCCTCGATGGTCCTCGCCAAGAAAAAATACACACGTCCGAGCGATGCCGAGCCCTGGCGGGAGCCCGAGCCCGAGCCGAGCCCGGGCCCGTGCATGGCGCGCGGCGGTGCGGTGCGGAGCTTTGGCCTGGCGTGCCGTCGCGGGGGCGCGGCCACGGCGCCAGCCCTGCCGGGCCGACCAGACACAGCTGGGGGAGCTGTGGTCCTTACCCCCCTGGGGGAACCCATCGCACTGACGATCTCTCGAGCGGGGTGTCGAAATCGATGGGTTGAGGGCCACAGCTCCCCCGCGCTGTGGCTGGCCTGCCGGGTGTCCTCAGCCAGCCGTGCTCGTCGAGCCGTGCCAGAACGCGGCGCAGACAGCAACCCTCGGATGTTCTCGCGGACCTCCCGGGCCAGCGCCAGAGGCGCCGCCAGAGGGGGCCAGCGCCGACCCGAAGGGACCGTGCGTGCCTCAGAGGATATGCTGGCGAGGTGCCTCTGCTCAGCGTGTCGCAGCAGCGGCCCCCGCGACACGCTGCGCCCTGCAGGCTGGCGGCGCGTCGCCCTGCTTCGTGGGGCGGGGGGCTGCGAAAGGCTCGGAGCGCTGCTTGGAGACTGGGGCGTGCTCGTGCCGCGCGCAGAGCGTGGTGGGCCAGAACATCACCCGGGTGACTCCAACCTAAGACCCATGGAGGCCCAACCGGAAAGAAAAAAAAAATGGGGCGCGCCGAAGAACCCAGGGGGTCCGGTTTCCGCGGAGGAAAGAAAAAACCCTGGCGATGGGGTTCGAGCACGGGGGTTACCCCCCCCTCAAATTCCGGAAGAGGAATGAACTCCCAGCCGCGGGGGTGCCCGCGCGAGGGGCCCCACCCCCCCAAGCGCAACCAGAGGAAGAAAAGCGTGAGAGCCGAGACTGTAAGTGCAATGCAACAACACCTTAATCGCGGTTGCACTAGGGATTTGCATTAGTACGGGAACAACTGAATTACAGCTGGTGAGGTTTGGGTTCGGGTTCGGGCTTATATATTGGGAACCCAGTATATTGGAAACGAAATATATTGGAAACTCAATATATTGAAAACCCACTATATTGGAAACCCAATATATTCGAAACCCAATATATTAGAAACCCGATATATTGGAAACCCAAAATATTGGGAACCCAATATATTAGGAACCTAATACATTGGAAACCCAATATATTGGAAACCTAATACATTGGAAACCCAACATAGGAACAACTGCGCGATAGGACATGATAGTACCAGTTGTACTCAAGTACGAGTTGTACGGTAGTCGGAGGGGTTCAGGGGTTCCAACGGCAACGCGCGCGGGGAAGAAGGAAAGAAATCCATGCGCCGCCAGGGGTCCCGGGTTTAACGGGTCGCCGCGAAGGTTGACCCCCCGCGGAAAGAAGAAAAGAAATCCGGCCGGGGGGTTGGGGGGTTGAGGGATGAGTCACGGGGGCGATGCCAGAACCGGAGGCGCGACACGCCAAGACAACGCTCCTGACGCTCCTGACCGTGGCGAGAGCGACGACGACGACGACGACGACGACGACGACGACGACGACGACGACGACGCCGATAACGACGAACCCGAACCCCCGAAAATCTCGAACAAAAGGGCGCCGCCAGCCTCGCAGAGAAGGCACCCCGCACCAGAGGCCAGGTGCGCCGCGCGGCGAGGGCAGGGATCCACCAAAAGGGGGGTGACCCTGAGGGGGGGCATGAGTTTGATCCGCTGGTGCACCGGATTGCCGCAAACAGATGCCCCCCCGCATGCCCCACTCATCGGCAACCGTCGGGAGCCGCCGGCGGCTGGGGGGGCATCTGTTTTGAGCGGCTCGGTGCAAAAACCCGTCGAACTCTCACACACACACACACACATTCACACACATTCACACACATAGGGCGACGAGATCTATACATATCCACTGCTCCTGGCCAGGCCCATCCTGGGCCCAGGAGCTGTGTAGATGCCTCCCTGGCCAGGCCAGGAGGGCGTATACACCGCTCCTGGGCCCAGGATTGGCCTGGCCAGGAGCAGTGGATATGCATAGATCTCGTCGCCGTACACACACACACCCTGGGGCACACCCCACCGTTGCGGGATCCCGACGGCAGGGAACGGCGCGCGGCGGGCAGCCTGGACGGCCTGGAGGCATGGCTCCTCCCGCGGGTCCACACACGGCCATCTCCACATCTCCCCCGTCCGTGGCCGCCCCTCGCGGACGGGGGGAGACCGAAGGGGAGGGGGAAGGGAGAGAGGGGAAGGGCAGGGGAGGGGAAAGATGATGATGACGACGATGATGATGATGGTGATGATGATGATGAGGATGATGAGGATGATGAGGAGGAGAAGGATCATGCTGGTGCTGGTGCTGATGACGATGATGATGAGGATGAGGATGCTGATGGTGGTGCTGATGCTGATGTTGATGCCGGTGACGATGATGATGATGATGAGGATGGTGGGGATGACAATGATGATGACGATGATGATGATGATGATGATGACGATAGTGGCACTGATGATGGTGATGCTGATGATGGTGGTGATGACGGTGGAGAGGATGTGGGTGATGATGGTTGTTTGAAATGATTATGATAAGCGTTGCGGTGGTGATGATGGTGGTTGTGATGTTCCTGATGGTGGCTGTGATGTGGATGACGATCATAATGATGATGATGCTGATGCTGATGATGACGATGGCAGTGGTGGTGGTGGGAGTGAAGGCGGTAGCGATGATGATGATGTGGGCAACTCTCGAGGCCAGGGGGTCCCTTTGTGTGCAAAGGACACGGCAACAGGCGAGGACGGCGGAAGCATGCTGGCGCCATGCACCAGGAAAGGCATTCTAGAGCGGGACAAAGGGTGGGCGGGAGAAGCTTGAGAATGGTAGTGCGGCCCGAAAGAGAGCAACAAAAAGCCGCGGGCAGCAATATGTGGGCAACTCTCGAGGCCAGGGGGGCCCTTTTTGTGCAAGGGACACGGCAACAGGCGAGGACGGCGGAAGCATGCTGGCGCCATGCACCAGGTACTTAGGCTAGCCCATCACACTGGCTGAAAGCCGCATTGACTGAATTTTCACATAGCTTTGATCTGCTGAGCGACGTAGCGAAGCGAATCAACACTGAGAGCCATCCTGTCGCAGGCACATCTTAGAACATTGACGGGGGGCCGCAGCGCTTTGCTGCGGACCTGACGATCTAGAGATGGGATGCCGAGCTCGCCAAGATGTCGTTTCCCAGATCGACAACAGAGCGAGTCGGCAGGCGAACAGATAGCAGAAAGAGAACTCATGTCCTTAACATGCCAGCTCACCAATCGAAATCTTATCTTTACACGGCCAGCAAACATACATGCATCAAAAGCAGCAGCAGACGAACACTGGCTAACGAGAGCGGCGCAGGCTGGGACATCCCAGATAAAAGACGCATCTGGATGACACAGCGTGGCAGGAACTTTATTGCTGCTACATGGTGACAGGAGGCGCACGTACTGACTGCAAACTAGATTCGCAATGTGAATTGATCGAAGCTGGGCACTAGACAAAATCGGCAGGCCGTTGGGACGAGCTATGCTACGAACAGCGGGCTTCTGAGGAAGCCAAGTAGTCGTGTCGGGCTCCACCCACACGCACGAAATGCAGCCTGCACGGATCCAGCCTAGCACACGCTTCATCACTAAAGGATCTGTGATGTCATCAGTGGCCTGGCGTCTCACGCTCAAGTGCAGCACGCCGAAGCCGAGGCGCTGCAGCGCGCGAGCCGCGCCGCCGCCGCCGCCAATCACCAAGGCGGGCAGGTACCTGGACCGCGTCGCCGCGCGTCTGGCTGCACGCCAAATCCGTGTCAGGCGGAGGCCCACCGCGCTGTCACTTGCGGAGGCGAATGCCTGACCGCTGGCGGTGTCGGCGTCGCGGCAAGCGGCCGTCGCAGTGAGAGGACGCCCGTGGTGGTGGTCTGCAGCATGAGATCGTTCATCAGCGAGTCCACCCCGTGCCCACGGCCGATCAGGATCTGGTCTAAAGTGGCAATCTGCTGCAGCACCCGAGCCCTCTTGGTGTGGCGGGAGAGGCTCGGGTCCGTTCTCCACTGGCCGCGGTCCTTGACCTCCTCCCTGGTGCGACGACGAGGTAGGCAGTCGTCGGCCGCACCCCCATGCCGATCCTCTGTCTTCCCAGGGCGATCGAAGCAGGCGCCGTAGACGATCAGGGCCAGACGTCCGTATCCGAAAGTGGCATCGGGTCTTGGTCGAAGAACGCCGCCCGCTGACAGGCGATAGGCCGCGTTGGTCGTCGGGTAGGTGTCGATCATCAGCCTGATGAACACTGCCATGCCGAAGAGCTTCCACGAACCGAGGACGCCCACCATGGAGGCCATCGCCGCCCGTGGAAGAGAGGGTCGCATCTGCGGGGGCGCGAGCTTCCGCCAGCCTGTCAAGGCGCGAGCCGCACGCGTGGACAGCGCCGTGCCCGCCATAGGCGGGCGCAGGTAGTGCTTCACTGAGGCGAGCAAAACTCGGCCCGTAGCATCGTCGAAACTGACCAGAAAGAGGTTCACGAAGTAGGTAACTAGGATGACAACGACCTCCGCCGCTGTGGTGATGGTCTGGGGCGTCTGACGGCCCCACTCCTCGAACTTCTTGACCGCGCTCCAGTCGTTGACCATGGTCGTGTCCGACACGGCGGCTGACTCGACGACCGAGAGCGCTGCCTGCCCGAGCCGTTCTGGCTTTGGCGGCGTCTTGGTCCTCAGCTCCGTCGATGTCGAAGCTCGGTGGCGGCAAAGCTCGGGGGGCCGCCGCCTGGTACTCCTCAAAGGTCGGCCCGACAAAGAAGCCTGTCCTCGACGGTGAGTCAGCGGCATTGCTTTCGCTAGGGATCCATCGCACTGCGTGACGAATGCCTGAGGCTGCCGACAGGGCGCAGAGGCGACGTAGCGGATCACGAAGCCCTCGGGCGCCAGAACGCCCCTTGCCAGCAGCGAGGGCTAGAGCCAAATTGTCGACGGTGAACAGGATGCGATGATGCCGAAGCCGTCCAGACCGAGCCGAGTGTCGCATCGCAAATCCGAGAGCCTCCGCCTCGTATCGCATGATGTCCAGACCGAACCTAGCATGACGTGCGCTGTGTATCGTAGCCCAGCCGTCGAGAGCCGTGATCGAGTCGGGAACCTCGTCGAAGCCGCCCAGCGAAACGTCGTCGATCCCTCGATGTGATGATAATGCGGTAAGCGGGGGCTTGCTATGGGTCTCGGGAGGCCTCGGGCACTGCTCGCAATCTTTGAGGCAGTTGTTGCTCACGGCCGCTTCCAACACAACATTCGGGTCGACTCCCAAAGCGTGCGCACGAGCGCGCACGGCATCGGAGAAGCGGTAGCGCCATCTCTCCGACAATCGCCCTGCGGCTGCAGCCACGTCCTGCTCAACGGTCTTGCGACAGACGCCAATGCCGTAGGGAGAGGCGTCGCTGCAGAAAGTGGTGGCCGCCCACTCTGCCCTGACATCAGCCCACCACAAAGGGATGAGGGAAGCAGCAGCGCGAAGCTCAGCGACGACTGACGGCCACAGCGGCAAAGCCCGACGGGAGTCCTGACCCATGAAGCGGTAGACTGCATGGAAGATCGACAGCATGGGCCTGTTGGTGATCATCCCCCAGGTGCAATGACCGACCACGGCGGACAGCGCAAGCGGCGATGCATAGCCTCGTCTGAGTAGACCGAGGAGGGCCTGGCGCAGCCTGCACAACCGGTCCACCTTGCACCTGATGACGCCCACGTCGCCCAGGATGTCGAGGCCTGTGAAGATGACGCGAGGCGCCGCGGGGGCGAACTCGTCCACGGGCAGGCCCCTCGCCACCAGCACGTCGCGGATGGCCTGGCACGAAGCGGTGGCAACCTCTGGATCGAGAGACACGGTGGCGAAGTTGTCCACGTAACCCGCTGCGATGATGTCGGTATCGTTTCGCAGAGGACGAGGTGCTGCACCGTCCACCAGCATCGCATCGTCATCGATCCCCGCGTCGCGAATGGCCGTGGTTAAAGCCGACTGGCAGAAGTGAAGAGCCCACGACCAACCCATCGGCATCACTGACACGAACGGCTGTAAAAAGGCCTTCGTCGGGATCTTGACACCATTGATCACCTTGAGACCCACGTACCGATTCGGGACCACTGGCAAGGAGAAGTATCGGTGCAGCTGGGGCGGCAGCTTCATGTGATAAAAGGCGCACTGGATGTCACCCTGCGCCACGTAGAAGTCATTCGACGCCTCGAGGGCACTCCATGCCGACGGAGTCGGCAATCTCGTAGAGGGAGGGGCAGAGAAGGACATGTTGGCCACCCGCGTATCAAAAACGAGCCGCAGGTTGACGCCATTCGACTTCTCGACGAAGAAGAAACCTGTGGAGTACGCCGCCTGACGTTCGGCGACTTCCCACTCTAGCATGCCCGCCTGATCCAGGCGCAGCAAAAAAATCAGCATACTCCCGAGGGCGAAACCGCAGGCGAGGATCCACGTATGGCGACCCGATGCCCGAGTTCATCCTGAGAGCGGCTGTCTCCGCAGGGTCACGTAGCATTTGTTGCCTCCACCCTGACAACGTTGAACGATCGGCGTCGGACACGAGATCGGCCGTGGGAACGGGGGCCACGTGCTTCGGCCAGGAGACGAGCTCCTTGTCGTAGGGTCTCACCCGAGACTCACCAGAGT